CCATCAAAGATTTGTTCACAAAATCTATCTCTCGAAATTCGATGGCAGTATACTTATACAAATATCTGACCGATTTCTACATTTTTTCTTCTTCATCTCTATTAATATTTTATACCATCCTTATTAAAGAGGAGCGATAATTGATATCAATTTTTCGAAGGGTACTATAGTATGAACGAATTCAGAATGGATACTAATGATGCCAATAGATTTGGAAGATGCAATACAATGAATATTTTAATTCCCTGAAAAGAACTTCTGTATTAGAGACTGAAAATAGGTTCGGGACGGAAAATCTTGCAAATAATGAACACTTCCATAGGATAACTACAAAAATTTCAACATTTAATTATTGAGAAACGTACTAAAACTGCATAATTCGATACTTCTATCCTATGCAATTAGTTTGTTTGAAAGAAAAGATAATTCCAACAACACAATTACATATCTTTAAGACAAGGACCATATTGTAAGCACTGAATGGTAGAAATGGGAACAGTGACAATAAGGGTACTCGAGCGGTTGTTTTACTAAAGTAGTAAATTGTCAGCTACAGATTATGAACGACATTTCAATTAGTTTAGTTTCAACTCTTTTTAACCAAAAAATCCTAGTTCTGATAAATTTATTATTTGAGGCAGGATTAACACTGTCTATAATTATTATTATTAAGGAACACTAGTAAGTTAGGAGAAATCATTATCTAATATCAACAATTATCTGAAGAATTTGCAGCTTTACTATTCTAATGAGACAATATATTAAAAGCAAAAATATATGCAAATTAATGGTAAAAGTATGATTCAAACTAATCATTACCGACATAGCCAGGGCTAAAATAAACCAAACCTTATCACTTAATATTGAAATATTATAAAAGCACATAAAAAAAAAAACAAATTCTTACAGTCAGATCCAGTCTGTTATGTCCTTTTGTAATATTTATTCTTTTGCACAATATATCCGACACGCTTAAATTTGCTTTAAGCGATTCAATAAACTTTAACCCTTCGCATAAGAACTCTGTCGGGAACACTTCTGTTACTTTTATAATTTTTAAGCAGTAATACATACCATATATAAAGTACAAGTATGAAAACACCTCCAGTAAGTTCGTTTAATACTAGATCTGTTCATTAAAAGCCGCTTAAGTTTTGACAATTGTCCTTGAAACTATATCTTATTAAATAGAAAGATACGTAGACTTAAATCATCTAACTTCTAATACACTTTACCCATTATTTTAGGTGTGCATAATTACCTTGCACTTAGGAAAGAATTCTCAGTAATAGTTCTAAAAATAATCATGATAAAACTTCTACTAGAAAAAATGATTTGTTGATAGTGAGAGCTGCAGAAATAACAAACGCACTTTTAAAGGAAATGAGGGATTATCAATAAGTTAATACTATTACAAAACGAGGAAGTATAAGTGTAAGTATTAACAAAAATCCAAATGAATAAATTTAAACAGAAATTAGCGTTTCTGGAAGGGATCACGGAACAAACTAAATGTACAACAATGTACTTAAGTTATTAAGTACATTGTTGAGTAACTGAATTACTGGTTTTGAATTGATAAAGTCACTGACTGTTCCACTTTTTCCTAAATAATCATCTTAAAAACTGAAAGTTGGAAAAAGAATAAAGCGCATGGAGATTTGAATGAATGGTAATCAGGAATTAAGTAATACATAATTATCCGAAATGATCTGGAATTCATAACTATATAAAGCATATTATTATTGGAATAACATAAATAATTCAAGCAAAATGAAAAATGTCTGAATATTGGATTAAAAAACTCAAACTGTTATGAAGTTATTTTTTTCAAAGACTGCAAATTATAAAAAGAATAAAGGGCATGGGAATCAGTCATCAAACACAATTCATATTTTATAATATACAGATATTCAATTTCATTCTAATGTCAAATAGGAGAAAAGAGATATCAGAATAATTGAGATATGATAATTCAACAATAGAATTGTGTGCATTAAGATATTTTGAGAGATATTAAATTTAGCGAATGAACACATCATGGCACGCTCTTCAATTATCAAATTTTACAGTTTCATTCTTCCCCTATTCATACATTTTTCTAACCAAAATCCTTCGCCTAGTTTTCTGCTTTCCGCGAAAACTGTTTCAACTATACGCTGGAAAATCATATATTTACTACAACTATACAAAATTAAGAAATCACAATTCTAATAATGCTAAATAAAATTTCAACTAAAGAGTAAAGGATCATGTCATCTTGGAACGCATTAATCATATAATTTCTATAAATAGTTTTACCAAGAAGATATTTATGTCAATTTAATCGCAAATTTTGTATTTCAAGAATTGATCACTGATTCTAAATTTCTAGAATACTAACAAAATATAAAATATATTTTGTTAAAAATTTCTACATGAAAACAATTCAAGAATTATGAAATTTGCATCACAGTTACTTACAAGCAATGGAACGAACTTACCACTTAACTTTCAGTAAAAAAAAAAACAGTAAGAGAAGCAATAAAATATTACGAACTCAAATTATGTTGTAAGGCGATGAAACTATTATCCTGCAAAGCTGCAAAATGGAAAAAGACAATGAAGAAAAAAGCCAGTAGAGAGAGATCAAAGAAAAGACATTACAATTTCACTTTGATAGAAAAGAATGAATGGAACAATCATCGCAAAGAGGAATGAAAATGACAATAAGAATATTTAAAATCAATGAATTGACATTACTTTGAGGTTAATAAACATTGCGAACTCTTGCTTGTAAAGCAGAGAAAGGAGAGCAGAGATGGACTCAGTTCGATTGCTGGGGTCAAAATGCAGACACATTGACACGACATAACACAAGAGCCACTAGCACTGACCACGACAACCATTACAAGGACCATCATCATCATCTGAGGAGTATCTGAGCGGCCACACCATTCCACACTTTTTGAAGAGATGAGGAGAGTAATAGTGATGAAATGGGAACGAAGAGTGAAGGGTTGCTGATAGAGATGGAAGGGAGAGGAGGGAGAAGAAGAGGAGCGCAAAACATAGAATGAGATCTCTGGAGTGTTGATGAATGATGGACAGGTGGGGAGAGAGGAATTCTGGAAGAGAGGAAGGAAGAGTAGAAGTCAAAATAGATCCTTAAAGTTAGAAGTAACAAGACTGTTCCAAGATGCATCTGATGAGTAATGTTTCCGAGGGAAGTTGTGGGTATATCCTGTATCCTAATAAAGTCATCGAAGGAACTTTAACACCAAACCAAGCTACTTTTGCAATTAGACTTCTTTGTCTACAGAATTGATGTATGAAATTATCGAGTCAGATTTAACTTCTTAAGTATTTGACAAAAACTAAAATCTAACAAGACTGCAGTCTTTTCCAGTATCTGAAATTGAAAATAACATTTACTGGATAACAAATAGTTACATTGACCAAAGTATTAATGGTCTTTAAAATTTGCAAAAGACAGATCGATTCCAATAAGCGATTAATTGAAAGCATCTGTCAGCGAATTGACACAAAGGACTGATGAATCAAGCCAATAGGGCTGAAAAAGTGACGTGTAGCCACAAAAAATCATAATAGTTCTATGGATTACATTATATGAGTCATTTTAATTTTTACTTAAATAGTTTGTATAATTTCTGATTAGATAATCCTCCAATAAGTGTTTGTACAAGAACTGTACTTAAGGTAAAAATAACCATCAGTTCATTAAAATTTAGCTAAAACTGACTGTGGCCATTCAACAGGCTGGAAATACTCATTCTTCAGATAACGGAGGATCTGATTATACCAAAATTCTAACCACTTCTAACCAATAATTCCATATCACTAAGCACAACACACAACACACACATATATATGTATATATATATATATATTAAAACGGCCACACGAATGACGAATACCAAATCCTAATTGAACATTTTATAAAATTCAATTTTCACAAGGCTCAATTGAAATTTCCACTGAACCTTACGAAAATTCATAAGAATAGGATTCAACTGGAGTCTTAGCTACTTTTACTTTTGGCCATTTATCAGAAATATAATTAAGTCAGAATTTATTGAATCTGATAATGGCGGACTGGTCAAAAACACAGGGTTTGACGGACACTTTACTAAAAAATGCAATAATAAATGTAAACAACAAAGTATACAGTGTAATCAAAAGGCAGCAATATGCTTAAAAGCAGTTATTATACATATATATATTTGTACATCTAAGGCAAATTTTGTCTTTTAAAACAATTTATCATCTATTTGGTAAGACAGTTCTGACAGAAACAGAATTATCCTCAGAATTACTCTCAGGCATTTAATACAGTTTTAAAATCCTATGTTTCGGTAGTTCCAATCACACTTCAGCACTAAATAAGGCGAAAAAATTTAGAAGGCTGATCCAATTAACATAAATGTTTTGTTTGAAATGTATTCACCAAAATAAGGAAATATTCGTAAGATAAAAAAACATAATTTAGACGAAGTATATAAAATGCACACAATACAAAGCAAAATCTTTGCCACACATATGTATTAAGCGAACAAAGTGATAAAATTAAAAATTTTAAGTGATGAAAGTTATGAAATAGAAATAACAAGAAAGATTCGATTCATTTTTTGAAACAGACTTAAGGTTATAACTGTTATGTTTAACAAGCTAATACTGTTATGTTTAACAAGCTTATGGAATAGAAATAATTTTTTGGAATAATATTCAAAACAATCATAAAGCAAATAAAAGCTAATTCCCCAATATGAAAGCTTAAAGAATAAAACAGGAAAAAAATTTTTTTCCAAGCGATTCTTCTCATGAGATTTAAACTAATAAAAGTTTCAAAAAATCTAAGCTCCTTGCAAAATAACATAAATATATCATCACAGTCAATGGAGAAAAAGGATAGTAAAGAGCTATAATGAAAATAAATTCATCGAACACATCAAAAGCAAAACATGTTATAAAGTGATGATGGAAATCATATTGGGAAAGCATCATATAGGTAACCAGTTCTTCAATCGTAATCCTTGGTTATCACAGAAATGATCAGTATAGGGTATGCAGTTGAAGTACTCGCAATACACGCAATTGAAACCGGATGGCCAATAAAACACAGTCAACAGAACGATAAATAAACTAAGTGCGGTAGTAAGTGATGTTACCACAATTATTATTCGTCGGGTGCGATTATGACGCTTTGTCTGAATATATGGAAGTACAGCTGAAAACATTAGTCGTCAAGCAGATGCATACTATAATGTGCTTAGTTTTCAGCTAGTACTTATTCCATCTATGGATATTAAAAATGGCATTTATATCTTCTAATGATAAAAAACAATTTCAATTTCAGCAAACTTTTACGGAAAAAAATTGATTGATACTTATAAAATCACGGCAAATCGCAATTTTAAGAATTCATACGGATCAATTCGTCGAATTTTCGAAGCTTAGATTAACACACCTAAAGATATCAAAATTCCGAAGATGAAGCCGAATAAATGTGCCCAATTATCAACCCACGGTAATGTTCCTATAGTAAAAAGCGCTAGAGTAAATAAGCTCAGTTGCACAACTGCATGCCAAGGTCTTTCTAGAAGATTCCTAAAAAAACATAATTAACTGATAATTATCAAAGAGACACATAAATGTAAGAAATAATTATCTTTAACTTTTCAAAATTAAATCATCCTCTTACACATCAAAAAACATCAAAATTTTATAATCCACGAAAACTGCAAATTTTATATACCTTTTGGAAGTTATAAAAAAAGTTCTTACCAACTATAGAGCACATCAACATACATCGCAGCAAACATTCCAACATGTGATCCTGCTGGACCAACTTCTGGCTTAAATATTCAATTGATTTATTTTCTTGAAATGCATACACTCTAACCATCGATTCTCTTATTTTAAAACTGATCAAAACTCTGCTGTTCGATAACCCGATTAATCACATATATGTAATTTGCTTACTCTATAAGGAACAAAAATTGCACCAGCCAAGTATCCACCAACGCCGGATACCATGTAAAGAAGTGCTATGCGCGCCCAACCAAGCAGTTTCTCCAAATCTCTCATATATAGAATTTGAATAAAAATTGTTAAAATGCAATGGATTATTCTGGAAAAAAAGCAAAACTTGTACAAGCATGACAAAATAAAAGGCTTTCACTTACAAACTTTAAGTAATCACATTAACAAAAACAAACATGACGAAACTGACCCCGCATGCAGAAAAAGTGGTATAAAAAGGCGATACCATTGATCTGGTTGATCTTTTCGCAAAAATGGGAGCATTCCACAAAGTTCGCTCAAACATGACACCTGCAATAAATTCATATTAACGGCAGTTTTTTACACTGAGGAAATAAGACTATGTCATTTGTTTTAAAATCATTGTTAATATTTTCCGTCACGCTTCCCTAAAATAAAATTAAAAACAAATGACAAGTAGTGAAGGATTTAATTTAAGAACTATGTGAAAATTAATTAAACAGTGATTTGACTAATACTGATATATTATTAGCACCCTGCTTTCATTTTTGATATGTTACTTTTTTTTCACGATATTTTATCAAGAATATAATCAATAAAAACTTTGTCTTGATTTTTTCCCAGCTGATATAGTAATAAATAGTAATAGTAATGAAAGTAACTATACCTGTGAACACAGTGTTGCATTTTCATGAAAATATCCTTCCACAAAATCACAATAATCTCTGGTAGTTATACGACACTGTCCGTGCAACTGTATGCAACAAGGTCGACCAGTAATTTCACACTGCATGTGCACCACATTCTCGGGTACGAGGAAAGCCATCTGTTTGCATGTCTGTGAAAAAAATAAATTTTTAAATACACTGTTCATTTGCCCAATAATTATTTTCACATTAGAGCAACTAATTACCGGTAATTACCGGCACTGCTCCGTCGCGATATTCATTAACTATCGTCCAAAAATAAAACAATATACCAATAATAATAAACTTACAGGCCACTGCGTTATATCATCCGGCCATTCGTACGGCTTCACGGACACTGGATCGTCGCAATATCTGTATCACTTTTCCTTGACTTTCGAAAAATATTTCACAAAAATACTACCAAAATTTGATTAAAAATAATCACGAACAATTTATAAGTATACCTCGGATCTTGCCCACAAACAGCGCCCGATATGCGACCATCTGGACCTGGCTTATCGCTTTTCCACTTTGCTAGTGTGGCTATCAGAGACTAAAAATTAGATATCTGAACTGCTTAACAAAGTATTCGTTTTTTTTTTTTTTTTCATTAATACTTCCTACAATCGTTACCCATCATCGCTTATTAAACATTACTACCCTACTCTTAAGATTTTCATCCATTCTATTGACAATATTTCATAACGCTATATCAAATTCATTTTTGTTTCCCCAATTTTTTTCTTGAGGATCCTGTGCACAAAAATATTTACTTCAGAAATGTTTGCTAATTATTTTTGAAAAATAATTTTAAATAGATCAAGAAACACCAGAAAATAAAAATTACTGACAATCCTGAATAAGAAATCACAAGCTTAATAAAAAGCACTGAATTAAAAATGTCTTCAATACTCTGCTAAGTTTCAGTAAAACCAAGATCAACATATTTTCTTTAACCGTTTTGGTGCGCAGGAGGACAATTTTAAACATAAAATGGCTGCAAAAAAAAAATATGCAGAAAATAACAAAAACTCTGACTGCACAGGTGGCAATATAAACTGTAAAACATACTGGACAAGTATTCCGCCCAGTTTGAAAGCAACCAGTACCATCATTATAAATACAGCACCCGGTTTCATTTTCTTCCTTGCGATCGGCTTTAATTTGTTCGAAAATTCTTGGATCCATGCGCATACAAGGTGTAAATTTAGCACCCAGATGTACCAAATCAGCCTCAAAACTCAACGCATATCATAGTTTCAACACATACTTTCTTTTTTACAATGTAAATAATACTTTTTTATAATGTAAATGATTTGTTAGCAAATCTACATTCAAAATAAATCGTTCGTGATGAGTGATCATATACGGGCCCTAACGATAGCTCGTGTTTGCCTAGTTTACTGCTTTTATTTTTACTTAATACAATTAATATCTGGTTTTTCAACTCAATGACACGTCCCTTATAACTTGAAATATTTCGCGATTTTTGTAAGAAGTAGACAAAAGTTGAAATTCAATAACTGAACTGATTAAAATCTAAAAAAATATTTAAACACCAAATTAAAAGAAAAAATAGCTACTTAAACTTACAAATTTTGGTCCAAGCCAAATATTTTGCTGCGCATAAATACTGACCCTCTTTAAAGTAACAGTAGTGTGCAAAACATCAGCTGTCCTCTCCATAAGACCGAATCCCCAAGGACCAATTCCATAAGTGTACAAACTGATTATGGTAACAAGTATTTGAACTGTGGTAATCCAGTAAGTGAAGAAAGGCCTGAAAATAAACGTGAATGGAAACTTCTCTTTAAAAGCAAATCTTACTTTGACTGAAGTAATAGCTACCCACCCATCTTTCTCGCACAGTCCTTCATCATTCTGCAACTCAAACTATTTGAAGCTATCTTTAGGTTATTTTAAATTGATTAAGTTGGTTTTCATTCATTTCAAAATATTCCACTAACCACGCACCTACAATCAATGTAAGTGTCGTCATTCAGTTGATAAACATCCTTCTTATAAGCTCGCTGAAAATATTTCCGCCATATTCCAAAACCACTTCCAAAACGCCGACGATGTGCAACAGAATATTTTCTTGATTTCAGCTCACTATGGATTGTCTAAACTAACGCCAGAATTCATATGAGACAATTTTTTAGTCATAGAAATGTAAAATGCTTTTAACTAAATTTCAATGAAGCTGATGGATTTTCGGTTGAACATCTAATGTGCTACTGTTACATTGGAATGAAGCGATTTCCCAGCATCTTCTATATAATAATTAATAATAATGAATAATAACAGCAAATATATCAGCATATGAAAACGAAGCAAGCTACCTAAAATCTTATCATTTTCCAATAGACAATGCGGACATCGTTGATTAGACAGCATTTTAACTTACATCTAACAATAATTTCTTTCGCACGCTTCTGCAAGTTTCTATAGTTCTTTTGGTCATTTTCTCACCAGCGGCTTGAATGTTTTGCAGCCATTCCTGAAATAATTTCTAAAAACTTTTGGAAAGTGACACAGAAGCCATGTCATAGAAATGACACAGCAAGGGCTTACTTTTGAGTTTGGAAAAGTGTTGTATAATTATGCAAAAGGTATTACTTTCTAAAAAATAATAAGTTTATTATGAAAGGAAATAAGTTAGAAACAACATAATTCAAAATAATCTGATTGTTACATACTAAAATAGAAAAGAATATATATGCTAAAAAACAAAAGAAAAAGATTGAGAAACGAAGAAAAGAAACTCATCGTAGCTTTTAATAAAATAGATATCATTTCATTCGAGAAACAAACAAAAATTTGATCAATATGACGGCGACTGAGATTTACATATGGAGGTAATATGGACTAGGATCAGCAGAATTGGAATCAAATAAACGTATAAAGATCTACTTCTAAAAGCAAACAATATTCTGCTGATGATTTGTTTGCAAATTCGAAATTATTGAGAAATATTTCTCGAAAAAGCATGAAATGTTTTTTTTTTTTCGCTTCTCTTCATTGGGTTTAAAAGCATACCTCTAAAAATTGCGGCAAAGCATTAATGGGGCTGCTCAGAGACAGCAAAACTTCTAATTGCATGTATTATTTGATTTTAAAAAACTACTTTTTGTCAAACACATCTTAGGTAAAAAACATGCTTGCATAAGTAGGCTTCATAAAACTATTTCAAATCATGCACAAAAATCTCTTGAAGCTGCAATTAATTTTTTTACCTCATCCAAATAATGTGGCTGCATTTTCCTCTCTGGAGATCTATTTTCACATGGATTTCCCATGTCGGATTCTACTGGATCGTCTTCAGAGCAAAACTTAAAGGCAGTGAGTAATGAAATTTCTGATAAACTTAATGAGACAAAAGGTAGTTCCAAAAAAAAAAAAAAATTCAAAAATTGTTATTTGTATCGATGTCAAAAGTTTGTTTTAATCCAAAATCAAATTCAGAAGAATTCTTAAATTTCATAAAGGAAATAGTACATATATTTCAACTGACTGAATGAATCATCATCGGAATTCGATGAACAGCAGCACAGAGAAAAATTACCTTTTTATATCTCGCCACAGATGGAAATCTCCCGACACTGAATTCTTGATAGCGATGCATACTCAAAGAATTCGCTTGCTCTTCTGAATAAAGGAAGAAAATTTTCGAACTCTTATTTTAACTTTTTTTCACTCATTGACATACTAATGCATTTCCTTGCTAAAACTGCTCAGTGGTTATTTATTTCTTAAATTAAACAGAACCTATATTTTAACTAACACAAGATTTTAGTGATACCGGTATAAGTGATCATGAAATATATTTCAATTATCCATATTTTAAATTGGTAATCTATTTTGTACTTTGATATTATAAACCTATGCAAAAAAATACTCGTGAAATAGAAAGATATGCTCCTGCAAATAATTCCCTCTGCAAAACAAAAAGAAGACATGGAAATCTTTCAACACTGGTGTTTTAACAAATTTTTTTGTTAAATAAAAGACACTTCTATTTTGAGCAAAGCAAAAAAATTCTTTGAAAAAAAAACAGACAGTAATAAAGGTCAAAAGATCAATAAAAAATAAAAAATGAAATAAGGAAATACCTTGGTCGGTGTCGGAAATATTAGACGAAACTGTTGGTAAAGTATAATCGAAGAAAACTTCGTCTTGTATAGACTCTGTACTTGAAAACGGTGCAGAACCCTTCAAATACCCTAGAATTAGCATAGAATGCTCATTTTCATTAAGTTACTGAATTTGTACTCGTTTTCTATCTCTTTATCTTCTGCTATGCTTATAGTTTCTAAATTTCAGCTCAAAATTCAAATGGGACATCTTGAAAAAATCTGGACAAGAGCTAGATACATATTAAATCTTAAAGTGTTTCAATTACTGACCCAAAAGTTTAGATATTAAGAATAGTAGCAAACTTATGCCTTTTCACCTATCGTTTCACGGTCAGTAACAGTTTGTGCTTGAACTTGTGGTTTCACAACAGAAACTACAGGTATATCATATTTTGCCAATTCTGAACGCAACAGAGGTTTTTTCTGACCAATAATTTCCCTCGGAAGTGCAACAACATGAACAGCAGTTTCTACCTCTGATGGGAAATTAATTACTGGGTGATTCTGAAAATTGAATATTTTAATCACTTCATCAATTCAGAACAGATTTTAGTCCATATCAATCTGAAACATGATCCGATATCTTAGATTCTGGATAAAACTGGAATCCTTTCTAAATGCTCACCTTTTCCATTGAAGAAACTCCAATTTTTTTTTTGTTTTCTTTTTGAGATACGTCCGTGGTATTCACCAAATGATGACTTTCAATGGCAAATTCCACGACCGCAGGCATGCTGTCTGCTGTAAGTACAAATATGATACATTACTCATAAGCATTAAAACTTCAACTATTTCAAAATCATTGGTTACGAGCAACTGAAATTTGAGACTACTTTTATACTTTTAAGACACTAGTTTCAAAAGTTTTTAGAAAAGAAAAAGGAAAATTCGGAAATTAAAACTTATTGTCTTGTTTTTCAATGCAATATGTAATAATGAAAGTTGAAACAAAGCAAATGAAGAAATAAAGATTCCCCGAAATTAAATTGCAGATAAACAACTCTGCGAAAAAGCTGCCATATTACTGCTGATAAAATTCATAAAACTCATAAAATCTCTTTGCAAATTGTAACAAATTGACAAATACAGTTAATACTGCGCAAAAATCTACTGAAATATTATCTTTACCGACAGGGGCATCTATAGCTCGTGGCCCAATTTTTATGTGAGTAATGTTTCCAGCCTGTTGTACTGAAAATGGTGCAAAACTGCTCGATATTGATCGTCCACGTTTGACTGTAGCATAGTCTTTTTTAGGTCTCAACGTCCCCCTGAAAAAGATAATTTCGATGTTAAAAGTTGAAAATCAATATTAAAAACAAATACCAATGTTACATGAATCATAGCTGTCTCTGAATATTATACCAAAACGTTAAAAATGAGGAGACAAATAAATAAATTTGCATATATCACTCAAGGGCAACATAATAATCATCAACGAAGCAGAGGTTAAACCTACAATACACAAATACACAAATGTGATAAAAAATTACAATTGCAACCTTTGTACTATGGAAGAAATTCCGTCATAAATCATTCTTATAACACTGTCGCGTCGTTCCAGATGTTGCTGAATAAGTCTGCTTCCACGGCTTCCTACCGATTTACTTCTATAAAATGTTCTCTGAAAATTAATCTCTTAAGAAAAAATTCTTGCTACTGAGCAATTAAATTAAAAAATAAATTTCCTTGAGAATGGATTTTTCGTAAAATTGAAGGATTCAACATTTCACTTACTATATTTCTTATTTTGGCAAATATTTACAACTTACAATCATCACAACCTTTTTGCTACATTGTTTCAAAACTTACAACGGCTCCAATTTCAGATGTTAAAAATACATCTTCATGTATTTCGCTCTGTGGTGTAACACTCTTTGATGGTAATGGAACATCGGTCAGATCATCCAGAACTGAAGCTACACCTGCATATCATCATTTCTACCGTAAGAATTCCGAAAGACTTGAATCCCAAAACGAATATTAAATTCTCGAAAGCTAATAAAATATTAGCATTAAATAGAAAAAGTTGAAATGGTAAAAGGTATAAAGTTGTAAACTGGCTACGGTATTTGACTACAAGTAACTTTACAATTTTAAACCGCATTACTTGAAAAAAAAAAAACTGCTCTTACGTGTTATTTTAATCTTCTGTTAGGTCCAATTCACAGATAACTCTAAATATACATATTTAAGTAATGATTATTAAAATTACTATAACATGCTTTGTAGCCTTAATTCTCGTGTAAATATGTCTTCTTTCGGATTTCCATAATGTCTACTAATGAATCGCAGTCGGCGGCAACTCCACTTCTGATCGACAGGTACACAGACTGAAGACTGGCAGCTTTCTGATGGTGGAACACCGAAAAACTTTGCTGTCCCGTTTGAAATTGTGTCTCGAATGCTGAAACATTAAGTTGTTTACCCGAAAAATACAACTAAGCTTAATTGGAAATTTGGAAAAAAATGCCTGAGACTTCTTTTTATCTCCAAGAAATCCAAATACCTACCTTGAAAGCAACTAAAAATAGTTTAACGCTACACAGCAATATGAATGAGATTAATCCAATCAAAAAAATAAATAAATAAGGACAAACCATGCTAAACCGTATAGAATGATGACAGAAAGAAAATGGAGAGTTTTTCTTTAAAAGAATATACAAAACAAAAAAAAAAATCTTTCTTTCAAAAGAAAAAAATTCGAAAATGTAGAAATTCAAATGTAAAACACGAAAGCTTACCTTTGTGCACGACTTAAAGGTGGATAACTTCCAGATCCCTTTAACGAGTTGGAAGACGACGACGAAAAGTGTAAGTCCTGGAATTCATTTAAATCAGACGTACGGATAAAAAGAAAACATTAAACCAGCTGTTTAATTTACCAGAAAATAAAACTGTTACTAATGAATTTCGTATTTACTGATTTAAGTTTGTTCTTCCAAAGACGATCCAAAGATGTAATGAAACAAACTATTGCGAAGGTAGAATCTAGTGCTTACAGAGGCTTTCGTCATTTTCATTTTAAGCATTAAAAGTCTTTGGTAAAAATATAAAGGTAAATACCTCGGGTGCAGGAATGAAGTAATCTGCTGGCGTGCTAAAACTCTTCATAAGCTTTTGCTGCATCGGTCTTGAATCTGTGTTCGCAACTTCCGATACACCACTATTATCTCTCGTGGTAATACTTTTTAATGGCAGTGAAAGATGGGAACGATCCGGCACACCAGACATCCTTATTTTTCATTCAAATTCCTAAAATCAAACTATTCTCAAAAATAGAGTAACCAATAAAATGTGTTCAGTCATAATCCTGTGACAAATAAGTCGGCACACAACCTTTGCAGTGAAAGCTTGAAAAAGAGAAAAAGAAAAAAAAAAGAATTTTAAACATTTCCCAATAAAATTTCTTAAACTATGAATTATAAATTACTGAAGGAAAATTGCTGAGAATTACAGAAAATTGCAGATATCAAAATTGCTACACACAAAAAGATAACACTGAAAATAAAAAATGAAGTTATTATGAATTCAAGGACGACATGAACGTACGCACAAACAGTTACACATCAATATTACTCTCCTTACCTCCTCACGTCACCACGGTGGTCCGTTATATCTCGCATTACCATGTCTTTCTGGGTGTGAAATTATGAATATTGCTTTCTTCCAGTATGTCAGCCATCTTCCTTGTTTTTCACATTATTCTTACTTTCATCCTTATTATGCCATTATCACTATCATCACTGCTATCACTTGCTCTCCCTATCGTAAACTTCCATGTGCATTATCTTGTAATCGTTATCATCATTATTACTAATATATCGTTAATATTATCATGACCGATCATTCAGTACCTACATCTTTTCCGGTCAATTAAAAAGAAGTCCTATTATATTAATCAGCTGATAATGTTTCAGGAATGTAAATAGTCTTGAAAGGGACAGTGATTACTTAACGCTAAAATGATGAAGTTGAATCTTAAGTGCTTTTACACAGGTAGATGTAATATTCGAATGTTGTGCACTTACAGACCAAGGATACCAAAAGGTTAACCTCATTCATGTCATTTCAAACGTCATGTTATGCACTGATTAAGACATCTCATCATGTTGATTGATTCCGTGTTTGCCCAAACAGTCAACAAGTTAAATGGATTAATTTCAGGTTCAATTTCGAGTAAAACAATGAATTTGAATGTGGATCCGAAGCTGATACGTAATATTGGCATTATTGCGCATATTGATGCAGGGAAGACAACGGTTACGGAACGTTTATTATATCTTGCTGGTGCAACGAAGTTTTTGGGGAACGTTGATTCTGGTCAGTTATTATTTTTCTGAAATTTTCACACTACTTTTCATGTTGAGTTTAAAGGTACGGTTAAAGGATAATTTCAGGAAATACTGTAACGGATTTTATGGAATTAGAACGTGAACGAGGTATTACAATACAGTCTGCTGTAGTAACATTGTTCTGGAAAAAGCATAGAATCAATTTAATTGATACTCCTGGACATGTCGACTTCACTCTAGAAGTATGGACGCACTGGATAAAATTTATTCATCCTTACTGCAAGCTTCACTGCTAATGATCAAAATTATAAACTGAAATTATGTGTTGACTTGTATATGGCAATTCAGAAAATATGCAATTACGAAAATTTTCCGAGACATTATTTTAGATCAAGCTTAAGTCATTCTTTTTTTCTATCTTTGAACTGCTTGTTTATTACAGGTAGAAAGATGTCTTCGGGTGTTAGATGGTGTTGTAACTATCTTGGATGCATCAGCCGGTGTACAGGCACAAACTATAGCTGTGTGGCGACAGGCGAAGAAATTTTCAATTCCATCGGTTTTTTTTTTGAATAAAATGGATAAAAAAGGTGCGGATTTCTGCAGATCTGTTAACTCGATAACGGAGAGATTGGGACTAAAAAATCCTATCAGCGTATGTTTTTTAACAGCATATTACCTATACTTCTGGAAGATACTTTTTTTCCCTTTAATTCGTCTTTTAAGTTTTAACGTTTCTCCAATGCCGCTGATTTTTTTAAAGGTCTGTATACCCATTACGCATGAAGAAAAGCATTTTGCGGCAGTAGTTGATGTAATTAACAAGCGTTACTTGAATCTTGACTTAGATGGCGAAGCACAATGGACTGATTTAAAAGAGGGTTATTCCCAGTAAGTTATCTCTCTCTGTCTCTCTTGTATATATTCAGGACTGATAATATGGAAATTTTATTCCTAAAAAAAGCTACTGTAACATAGTTGATTATAACTGTTTCATGTTTGCATTTGAACAAATGGTGACTGCTCGCGAAGAAATATTTTCAAAGTTGGCGGATTTAGATGATCATTTTGCTGATATATTTTTACAAACCAGCAGTGAAGATGATGTTTTGAATGAAGAGGCACTTTATGCTATGAGACGACTTACACTTACTCACCGAATTATCCCGGTAGCTTGCGGATCAGCGTTAAGGTAGGTTGCGTTCGTCTTGATCTTATGTCCGAAGTAGAATAAAAATGTTGTAATATTTTGCAGATGTGCAGAAACTGTAAGTCCAATCCTTGATTTGGTCATTAGCTGTTTGCCATGTCCAACAGAGAAGAATGATCTTGTTAATAAAGTCTTTGGCAGTGACTTAAGTGCCCTGGTATATAAGGTTAGTTTGTAGTGATTTAATTTGTGTTAACCTGTTATGGCTATATATATAACAAAAATTTTCTCAAAAATAATTGATATTCATCCTTTTGCTGGATTATATCTTATTCAGAACAGTCGGATTTAATCGATGGAGTTTTCGTTCCCTATTGTTCACTCACAGAAACCTTTTTTTTTTTTTTTATAGCTTACTTTGATGGTAGAAATGTGAAATTGCTCAAGCTTTCATCTGTCATCATTCTATATCACACAGTTTTGATCAACTTATGGATAAAACGTACCGAACCGGTTATCCTCCCAAATGCATTTAGTGATTAATCTAATAAAAAATTTCGAGCATCTGGAAAACAAGAATAAGAAACTATTGTTTTATGTTTTACGTAAAAAAACTTATTAGCAAGCTACTGCATTTCTTTCATCTGCTCTTGTTATATGTTACAGATTGGGCATGACAAAAGGCTCGGACAGCTAGCCTACACACGTATTTACACTGGTGAAATCAAAAATATGGATTCATTATATAATGCTAACAAGGATAGTGTGGAAAATAAATTTAGTGTTCATATCCCGTATAGTGATCAACTACAGTTGACTTCTTCTGTCAAGGTTTGTTATCGGATGGTTTCGAACTTATATATTTTTTTATTTATTTACTAATTCTGGAATATCTTTTGATCAAGTTATTCAAGTTCGTGTTTTGGTTTTGAATTTGCCTAGTCTTTCCTTACTTCGTGCTCTTAATCAGAAAAATTTTCTGTCTTTTCGTCAGCGAATTCAGTATTTTTATTGTAACTTTTATGAAAGAATCTGTTACTACAGGCAGGAAATATTGCTGTTCTAACAGGTATGAAGTGTATAGCTACAGGTGATACACTTGTTGCAAACAGAAGAGCTGCTGAAATGGCAAGTGAAAGGCGTCTGAAGTTAATCGATGAAGATCTTTCTGGAGCTCATAATTTGTTCTTCCAAACTGCAAAAAGTTTATGTCATTCTTAAAGGAACTTCGGCAAATTTTATGCAGATCTTCTTGTTTCCATGAAATTTTAAAGATTTTTAAATAATTTATAGACATGGTATAAATTTTAATCAAAATGAGTATGATATAAATTTAGCCAAATTTTGCTTGGTTCTTGAAGAGCAAAAGGAAACTCTCATTTTTAAAGTCTGCAGGTCATTCTGAACATCCAGTTGGTTCCATAAAATCTATTTTGTTAGCGGGCATTGAAGCACCTGATCCAGTTTTTTTTTGCACTGTCGAAGCACCATCTGAAGCAGCTAATGTGAAGTTTGAAAAGGCAAGAAGTTTAAATGATTTTTCATCTCTATTTGTAATTGCTTTACTTATGTTGAATAAAATTTCATAAAATTTTGGGAAATTCAGTTTTAACTTCTTTTGTTATTTGAAAGTTTCTAATGAAAAGGAATAATAAGTCTTCAAAATTTTCAAACCAGTGGTTTTTTTTTTTTGTATGTTTAAGCAGTTTAAGTTTTCAGCATGCTGTCCACTGATGTTGCAAAATTTTGCATCAAAAATATTGTTCGACAAATATTTCTATATAGTCGTATTTTGCTAACATTTCTGAATACATACTTTATAGGCTTTACAAGAACTGGCAGTAGAAGATCCGTCCTTACAAGTGCGATATGATAATGAATTAGGTCAAACGATTATTGGTACAATGGGAGAGCTACATATTGAAGTTGTTAGAGATAGACTTCGACGTGATTATGGCTTGAATGTTTTCATAGGATCGCTGCAGGTTTTGATTCTTTTGTTCAACTATTAAACGATGAAAAATAGATTGCAAATTGATTTGAAAATTCGAAACCGAAGAATAACTTCTTAAACTTTTTACTTTTATTTGTATGCCTTATGAAATTTTGCCTCAGGTCGCATATCGCGAAGTAATTGAAAATGAAGTTAGAAATACCACAGTTTTAAATGCTACATTTGGTGATAATGAATTGAAGCACGAATGTAGAATTACCTTCACTGTTAAACCAGATAAAGGCAGCGGTAAATTCAAGCAGGTATAATTTTGCAAGATAAATGGTAATGTAAAATGAAACATCTTATTTTGCAAGTTGTTAAAGATACTTGTAATCTTTTCATTCCATTTAAAATTAAACGTGTTGCTTTCTTTTTTGTGCAGTTAGCCTTTTTTCTGTGATAACTGCCAGCATCATTATCCCGAATTCCCAGAGGAATCAAGACTGTACAGCAGATGACTGCATCATGGTTTTGCCTAGTATAATTAAATCTGTTAAAATGTAATGAATTGGATAAGTTTGGGACGTTTGTTCTATAATTTTGTTCTGTAATCGTTGCTGAAAGAATTAAATGGTGAAATTTTATTGACTGTAAGGTACTTATAGTTGATATCAAGATGCTCAAGTGCAAAATACTAGAATTGCCAGAAATTTATTGTTTTTCATTGTTTTTCCACAGGTAGGGTAGTTACTAGCTAAAAAGCGGTCAAGCGTTAACCTATTGTGGTACTTTGTTCAGGACTTCAAATTCCAGCCTACTAAAACCAATGTACTAGTTAACCTATCAATGAAATATCTATAAAAGTCAAGGATAAACTGTCTCCTATAAAATCACCTATAAAATATTCATAAAGATGCATTATTTATATCTCTTCATTTTTGCTGCATATCAATGTATAATAGTATGTTTTAGGTTGTAGTACTTTTGGATGATAATAATGAATATGCGGGTGTTGGTATACATGAAAATTGGTTGAATGCAATTAATGAAGGTTGTTGTAATGCCCTGTGCACGGGACCATTAGCAGGTTTCACAGTTTATGATATTACCGTGATACTAACAGATTTCGTGGCGAGCGGGAAACGTTTGAGTCCTGCATTAATATCTGCTACTGCCAGTAAGTGTGTAACTGAGGCTTTACAGAAGGCAGGCACGCACTTATTGGAACCTATAATGAATGCTGAGGTATTCTCTAAGTCTTTCCTTTTGTCCGTTCTTTAAAACTTCCTAGAATCTTAGAGTAATTGAATCAAAACATGTTTTTAAATACAAAAAAAAAATGTATAAATATAATTGAAAAAAAAAAAATGTATAAATATAATTGAAACTTTGAAGGTTTAGTTTGCGTAATTATTTTAGATAGTTACAACAAGTAAAAAGCATGCAGATATGACACTTCAAGAAGTCTATAGGCGAAGAGGCATTGTGTCAAATTGTGGAATAGAATGTATCGGTGATACATATGTTATTCGATGCATTATGCCACTTGCTGAATTACAAGGTTTCTCCAAAAACATTCGAATTATAACTTCAGGACATGCAAGCATTCACCTGGAAATAGGTGGCTATCAACACATAAGCGAGCAAAAACAAAAAGAAATTACAAAAAGGAATCGTTAATTATTCCCTTTATTTTTTAGTAGTTGGTAATAAGTATGGACAAACTCCTTCAAATTCTGTAGGATTTGTCGCTTTTTGAATTTCTTTATTTTGTTGCTTATGTTCCTACGAACTTTTTATGTGCTGTATTTTGATAGAAGTGCTGTTCATTAAGTAAAAAGGGATAGTACGAATAAATGTGACATTTCAATTTGTGTTATGGCACTCACAATCAGACGCACTCTGTGCGCTAGTTCTGTCCTTTTAGCCGATGTGTATAGGAGTCAATTAAATTCAAGTTTTATGTTTATTTACAAAGCTATGTCGAAGTGCATAATTCTTAATATTATTTTGCCAAACAGTTTATAAATTCGCATGTTTGTATTGGTCTCCGTGAAACCATTTCGAATATTTTTGTAACTTCATGTATTCGTATAGAAAGGAAAAATTGCGAACTTCTAGAAATTTTTACACGAAATTGCTAACGGTGGTTGCAGTTAAATATCTTATGACCTGAAGGACCGATACTTTATCAAATGCGGTACCATTTCTTTTAATTACTTCACTTATAGACTATATATGTAACATTTAGGAAGTATCGAATGATGCGTATGATTTCCCGCGGTGGTGCAGTGAGCTGAACTGAGTGTAGTTTCTTGGAATTATAGAAATATCCAATTTCCGAAGGGGTTTTCTGTATTGTGGAAATTTTGAGAGTTTCATTTCTTCAGAGCTCTCAGTGTGATATTCACGTAGTTTTTATGTAGTAATGGCCAAGAAGCATATACCGAACTTTTTAAGCTTTACACCTTTGGCACCAGTTTTGCTACTATGAATTCATGGTCAAATAAGCGCTCATTCAAAGGCTCTATCTCATACTGGGGATTTCTGTAATTCTTCACGATAATAATTTCAGAGATTTTGTTTGGTTTGTCACCAAGTGTAAAAATTTCTTGGAATAATGTTTTGGATATTAAGTGTAATTCGAAGATCATTGCAACTCAAATTGTTCAAATTGTTTTTGATTTAATTTGATTAATATTAACGTGGTTTATAATTTAACAGAAGTTAGTTTGAAGTGATTTCATAAGTTATACATAAATTATCTCAAAAATTTTCCGAGATTTTCAAGGTTGCATTTTTTTTTCATGAGTAAATACGGTGCATTTTAAATAGTGAACAAATTCGAGGATTAACTAATCAAATTGGGATGGCGTGAAGATGTAGTTTTTTCTATTTTTGTATATCAAAATCCATCTGAAAATTTGACTCTATTTTTCCATTCACTTTGAAATTTGATTAATATATTAAAGTTGAGGGAAGAAAAGAAAATGACTATGAAGAATTGTTTTATATTTTGAGGAAAATATAAGGAATTTTTTTTGTATGATTTCTTAAAGATTTAATATTACTTTACTTAAAGATTTTAATGACTATGAAGAAATGTTTATATTTTGAGGAAAAATATAAGGAATTTTTTTTTGTATGATTTCTTAAAGATTAATATTACTTTACTTAAAGATTTACTTAAAGCTATACTTAAAGATTTAATATTACTTTAAAAATGCGCTTGTTACCTTTTTAAGAATGAAAGAACAAAATTGAGTAGTATTACTGAAACGAAGGCTTGTTTGAAATTCTCGATATCATTTCTTTCTACTTTTTATATCAATAGTTAATTCAATAAATGTAGTTTCTATTCTTGAATCTTGAATGAAAAAATAATGAAATTATTTTGTCATTTGGTCACACAAGTGCAAAAAATATATATTAAAGCAAAATTTCATCTCATTTTTTTCTACAAACCGGACTGATAAATGAAATTATTCATATCGTTTCATCTGTCATCACAATAACTATGCTTAACAATGCAAATTTATACATAAAACCACATTAATCCATCTTTAACTTATCTATGTAAAATTGTAAAATTCATTGCTTACTTATAACTCGAAATGAAGCAAAAGTTTAAGTAACTCATGTTTGTAGAACAGAATAATATAACACATGAACTTATAGCATATAATTAGGTTGAAAACTGAATCAAGATAATCTGTTTGTAACATCGCGGCATTATGAATTTCTTCCGCACAACTGAAAGTTTTATTGCAAGAAAGTGGAAGATTTCACATAAATGTGCAGGAAATTCAACAGAGTAAAGAAGGATCTTAAAGCATTTTGATAAGGAATTCCTTTTACTTCTTTAAAATATACAACTCATTCCTTTTTTCTTAAATGTTTTCTTCCACTCATTCCTTTTCTTAAATATTTTTATCACAAAATACCTAAATGTTTCATCAAAAATATTAAGCAAAAAGTTTCTCTGTTTCATCTAATTTCTGCTTAACAGTACTTTCGTTATTGTTATATCAAAATTGATAAGTTTATCTTCTGAAGAATGTTGAGGGAGAGAAATGCACAGCGTAGAACACTGTGATCTTTTTTTTTTTAATCCTTTTTTTTTTTTTTTTAAATTTAAGATCAGCTAATTTAAAATCTCAGTAAGCTGTCATAAATAGTTTTCATTTAAATGAAAAGTTTGAAGTAATCAGCATTTTTTCTACGATTAACTAAATGTAGTGGAAATGGTTCTTTTTTGCCAATCGATTATCACTCTCTGTTTAATATAAAAATTCATATCTTCTTTTCTATTCTTAAGAAAATTTCCAACTATTACTAAGTCTTTGATAATTCGTTAATCCTTAATTTCTTAGATGAATAATAATGCCATATGTATCTTTTTCTAAACAATTTTTTTCTCGTTTCCTTTTTGCAAAATAAATATACGCAAGATTGAAATTTTTTGATTCATGGTGCGATGCGGATCATACAAATTCATAGGAGAGTAGAAATAGTATGAAAGGAATGATCGATCTCGATTTTGATTTCGGAGCACGCAGTCGACAGCAATTCATCTCAACCCTTTTAACCTCTCCATCCTATCAGGTTACCCAGTTATTTCGAACGGTTGACAGCTGAACACCATGACCACGCAACTTTTTTCCCTACATTTACCCATTTTAAATCACATTTTTGAATTTAACTACAGTATCGCGTTCCCAGTTTGCTTGAAAATATAATTTGAAATGCCCATATAACGACCACTGAATGGAAAGATGCCCGAAATGACTTCCGATATTCTTCTATTCGCCCAAGAATTTTCCCAAAGATTGAAGATGGAACATCGATTGTTTTCGAACGCTAATGAATATTACAGAAACTAGCAAAAGTTTTTATTAACTTGATTAATTTAAGAGTGAAACACCTTCTCAATTGAACAGTCATCACGGATGACGATTATCACTACGATTATTCATGCTTTTACAACTTATTTTGCGGTTGTTAAAATATATTTATTGAGGAAGGTGAAATATACAAGAAGTAACATCCATTGAAAAATGAATTTCAGAGTGTAAATAAAGAATGGGCATGAAAATTCTCCTATTCGCTCTTTATCCAAAACTATAAAACTAGTTTTATCGATCAAATGAAATACCGATGGTTGTAATGACAAACTTCCGGACTGCGTATTCACTTAGCAGTTTAGTAGGTGTGTTTGTAACAGTTTCGGATTTCGTTTACTTGATCTTAAGTTTTGCCCACTTTTTTCTTCTTTCAAATATTTGGCCAAGTGACAAAAGACTTCTTTATTCACTTAACAGTTTTGAATCAATGACGTGGTATTGCAAAGATGATATTCGAATTTTAAAGTTCTGTTCAACGGTTTCCTTGGTAATTTGCCACTTCAAAATAAGGTTGCTATTATTGTTATTACTATTACTATTGTTATTTATTATTATTATAGCTATTATTGTAACTATTGCCATTATCATTATTATTTATTGCAATTATTATTATTTGTTGTAATTATTATTACTGTCATTATTAGACCAAATTGTTGTTCTTAAATATGCGGTTATTTTAAAATAACGATTTTGATGGTTAAACAAAGGTCAATAATTGACGTCATCAACACTTCTGTAATGACTTTCTAGATGATTGATATCGTGTACTACATACTTCCTTTAAGAAGACCAGGGCATGCTCTATTCCGTGAACAATTATTTTAAAAGTAGGATAGATTGGAACTTTATCTGAAAGTGAAAATAAATTAATTACAATTTTTATCTTTTCCCATTCTTATTTCCAAACTCTAAACAGATCGATTGTCATCGATATCTCGCGTTATTGTCCTATTTCGCATTCATTTCAAATTATATTTTTGGAAACTGTAAAACTTTCAGAAATAAAATGAAGCACTGGCTGGAATTATATATTATTATAGCCGTTTGTACGGTAAGTCAATTTCATTCAAAATTTCCAGCTTTCCAATTTCCCCTTCCTTTGTAAAGCAGAGAAAGAGCTCCTAATTTACTCTTAGCACTCTCAGAGTTCATCATCAATATTATTGGGAGTGAGAACAGCTATTAAGCTTTTATTACAGTTAAAGTTCAAAATATCATTTATGGAAAAAGGGCGGAAGGGAAAGAGAGAGAGAGAGAGAGAGAGAGAAAGAATGAGAAGCAGTCTCGAGTTATTATCTTGGTGTAGAAATCAATCTACTATTTTATAGGGTCGACCTTCAGGTTAATCTATATCATATAATTACACCTCTTTCTCAATAACACTAATGATCAGTGATCCATCATTTTATCAAACATTCACGGAACTTTATAATGGTCATTGGTCATTATTGTCAACAAAGGAAAATTCCTGAGACACTAAAAAAGAATTCAATGATTTAAATTTTGTTCTTTAAATCTTTGTGCTAAAAAAAGCACTAAACACTCATTAATGTGTTTTTATAAAAAAAAAAAAAATTGACTACTTATTTGGTTAAAACTATTAATGTTATATCTGATTGTCACCTAACTCAGTTCATAGGACTTGAAGTACCATATCACTTCATGGTACAATTTCAACAATTTTTGATCACAATATAAAGGATTTAAGAAAACAAACCTTATCATCATAACCATTTGTTATTCGAGCTTCTTGATGTCAAAAATTTTTTTATTATT